TTACTAGCACTCTCCGCTAGATCATCGGCAAGCTATCCACTGTAGTCAACTGCGGCATCTAACAGTTGAGGAAGATCTCACTAGCGATATCATGAGCTCTTTCCAATAACTTCCAGTGGGATTTCAGGAGCTCCAGTTCAATTGCTCCTTTAACCCTTCTACTCTCCTCCTCCCCTCTTGGGACCCTTGGGCAGTCCACTATAAAGTGTTTGGCGTTCACCCCAGGGCTCCCACATACGCATTTGTCGTCCGCTTTAATACCAAACCGCTCCAAACTGAGAGGAAACGGGCCGTGTCCCGTAATCATCCTGTTCAGTTTGTGTGAGAGGATCTGACCGTTCCTTTTTGGATCTCCTATTCATTTAAAGGCTTCCCGACCGTTTGTTTCCACCCATCTGTCCTTCCACAACCCATTTATATGCGCTCGGATACTCTTGAAAACCTCTTTCTTTGGAATTGGGGTCACCACATCCCTTCCAGACCAGCATCCCTCTTTTGCCAGTTTATCAGCCAATTCATTGCCCTCAATTAGAGAGTGCCCCTTGACCCAGTACAATTCGGGGGGCCTATCCATTTCACTTAGCAGATCCGCTACTTCATGCGCCATCTGTCCCTTCTCCAAGCAAATGGAGATGAGGGCGGACATACAATCCGAGTAGATTGCCTTAGGAGGCAGACGGTCTCTCCTACACCAGATCAGAGCCTCTCTGATCGCGACCAGTTCTGCTGAATACACCCGCTCATCGTGCCTTAGTTTCAGTGTTTGTCGGCCCACTACCGATCCATCACTGAAAATGGCGATGCCAGCCCCAGTTCTCTTACCATACTTGCTCCCGTCTGTGAATATCTCCATTTCTTTACCAGACGGTAAGCCCTCTGACCACCTCCATCTAGGTTCCCAGTTCACGTCCTTATCTGGGTCCTTCGCCCATTCAAGCTCCTCAGGCGCAATGCCCAAATCGTTCTCAGTCCTGTCGACCCAGATAAGCTGCCTCAGTTTCTCTTCCTCCAGCCTTAGAGAAACAGGAGTCAGATCCGAAATCACCAGTAAAGCCTCTGTACTAGTAGTACAGTACCCCCCAGTGATCCTCAGAGTTGCTACTCTCTGCACTGACTCTAAAGTTGTTCCGACTTTCCTATCGCGGTTCCTCTTCCACCACGCTCTTGAACCGTACAGAAGAATCGGCTCAACCAGCTGAGGTAGAGACTCCTGAAAATCTCCCCTTCCCTGCCCCCTCTCAGAAGCGCTAGCCTGCATAGTCTCGATAGTGCAGACCTAGCCCTCAACCCTATATCCTTGGCGTGGTCCATCCAGCTCAACTTATTGTTCACCACTACACCGAGGATTTTCATGTTTGACCACCTGAATCCTCTCACCCCTAGCTGCAAGATGGGATTGTGGTCATATTCGACGCCAGTCCGTTTGGCTCGAACATCTCGCGATTTGAAACTCTGGGCCTTTGTTTTGCCCACGTTAAATTTGAGCTTCACCAGTTCTGCCCAACCCTTTAACCTACCGATGCTTTTATTGGCTAGAGCCTCAGCTTTTCTTCGGGATTTCTCACTTATAATCAGGTAGTTGTCATCAGCATAGGCTACCATGCAGGCGCCTGCTGGAAGTTCCTTGCGGAGAATAGTGTCAGCCACTACATTCCACAGTATGGGACCACAGCAGGAACCTTGAGGGCAGCCCTTTGACACTATTCTGTGCATGTCCACTGCACCTACCTCAATTGAGACCCGCCTGTCTCGTAAGAAATCCCTTATTAACGTCAGTAGGTTAAAGGGACACCCTTTCTCATCGAGGGCATTCACAACCATGTTCCAATTTGGGTTGTCGAACGCGCCTGCGATGTCGAAGGAGATCTCAATCACCCAGTTTCCCTTTGCGACTCCTTCCTCGATCTTGCCCAGTATCCCCTCCAAGCAAGTGGTCGTAGACAGTCCCTTCCTAAAGCCATGTTGGGAACTGGAAAGGTGTCCGCCCGATTCTAGCCACCTTGTCAGCCTTTGTGCCAGAAGACTGTCCATTACCTTTCCCAGGCATGATAGGAGAGACACAGGCCTATAGTCCTTTGCCGTAGCGCCCGACTTGCCACTTTTTTCGAGTAAAGCAATCCTCGCTGCCTTCCAAGCCCTCGGGAACCTACCCAGTTCCAAGCAGCGATTGTATAACCTGGTGAGAAGTGACCCATATCTTCTCACCAGAGCCTTCACGATGGTGTTGTCAATGCCATCGGGACCAAGGGATTTTCTGTTCCCAAATTTGAAGGCTGTCCTTTTGACCTCCCTCTCAGTGAAGAGTGGATCCATACGCCCATTTCTTGGTAACACATCCTCGCATTCCAGGTGCCCCACCCCAAAGTTCACGTCCAGAATATGAGACAGCGTGTCCGAGAGGTCATGTGCGCGCGATCCATCCTCCTTTCTTAACAACTTCAGGGCCTTAGGATTCCGAAGTTTCTCCATGGCCAACTTGTATGGTAAACCATACTTGTCGTCCTTCAGTGTCCTGCTACACTGAGCTCTCCAATGACCTCTGTGTGCTTTCCGTGTCCTCTTCTTGTACTTGGCCAGTTCCGCCCTGTACCGAGTCCACTTCCCCTCTCTTTCATTTTCGCTACACTTCTGCGCTCTCCTCCTTAAAGCCCGCATCCTTTTCCGCTCCACCAGGGCTGCTTTTTCCTCTTAAAGGAAAGAACTGTCCCAGTTCCAGGTCCAAGACCTCCGCTCGTAGTGATGATGTCAAGGTGAAGCCCGTCCACAGCTCTCTCCAGGCTATCACCATCCACCGCCAGTTCTAGGTCATTTTCAAGTTCAGTGTTGAACTTTTTGAGAAACCTCTGATATTCGCTCCCCTGACGCTGTACCTGGGAGTCCTCTCTACAGAGACCGGGTTTGCTGAACTCTTTGCTGTGAAGCTGATTAGCTTGTGATCACTAGCATCAGTAAACTCGGCTTTCCAAGAGTCTCTAACGAGTCCAATTCCCCTATTTAGGGTGAGGTCAATCACGCTTTCACCGTTTCGCGTGCTGAACGTCGGAGTGCCCCAATTGTTCCATACCTCCAGACCCAGAGATATTATTAGGTCCTCTAGATTTCTGCCCCTGGTGCTGTCTTCTCTATCTCTCAGGAAGAGTGAGCGGCATTAAAATCGCCAGTTATTAGCACGTTTTCGATCCTAACATTTCTAACCATTTGACTCAGCAACTCAAGCACACCTTGCTCCGGTTCAATGGGTGAAATGTATACAGAAATGCATAGCAGCTTGAGATCCGCCGTCTCAACCATAACTGCTATTACGCCCCTCCAGGAGCCATACTCAACGCAAAGAACGTCACCCCTGACCAGGATACAACCTTCCTACACCCACCATAGAATGTCTTGTACCTTGTATCTACCCACATTTTGTTCCTTGAGATGTATGGCTCCTGCACCGACACCACATGAAATCCCTCCTCTTTCATGTGTCGGTTCAACTCCTCGTTCCCCCTTCTTGCCCTAGCTGCGTTCAGCTGGGCAAAACTCCACCGATATGGTGCCAGTGTCACTATGATCGATTCTGGAGATGCCAGTTCCTTACTCCACAGGCTTTGGATCTTAGCGTGTGATCCAGCCTGTACTTTTTCTTAGACCTTTCCTTAGCCTCCTTACAGAGCCAGCACCCTACTGTCTCGAGGCAAGGTTCTACCCTCTCATGCAACCCTTCGCACTTATAGCACCGCCATGGGTTCCTACACTGTGTCGCCAGGTGACCCATGCCCTTACAGTGCTGACAGAAAGGTACCCTCATATTTACCTTTACTGTCACCCTTCTAAAGCCAATGGCAAGTTTCTTTAGGCCTTTCAGCCTGTTGCCAATCACACCATTTGTCACCAAAACCCACGTCTGGGTTCCAGTACCTCTGGTGTAGACCTTAATGAGCCGGTCCTTCTCCCCCAGTTTGACACCGTTCTGGTGTCTGAGGAAATCCGTATTTCCTCACTGGAGTGTTTGGGGTCCGCTCCCAACAGAACCAGCTCAAAAGGCCGCTCCCTCAAGTCCCTACATTCGGCGATCACACTCTCCCTCAATAGTGGGGTCGCTTTGACCTTGTCTTCCGCCTTTAGGAAGGTCAAGGCCACCCCCGTACCCTTTTTAATCTGGGTCATCTTGTAGTTTAGATGCCCAGATTCTGCGCCGAGCCTCTTAATAACTTCCATCAAGAGGTAACCTTCGGCATCCTTTTTTTTCTCAACAACGAGCGTCCTCGTTGTATCCCATCTGTTGGATCTCCCCTCTTTCGCCTTTGTTGGTCCTTTGGGAAGGGCCCTCACGCTCTCCTTAACCATTCCATCAAAGGTTCCCTTATCACACACACACATACAAAAGCCTTTATTAAGACACGCTGGTCTTATAGAGGATTCTTCCCGAGATTACAAGAGAGATAGGCCTGTGAAAGTGGGGAATATACAGAAGAAGAAAAAGAAAGATTATGTAAGTATGATATATTGGTTCCCTCGTCTGGTATCAGGGCAATCAGCGCACTGTTGAGTTCCCTCACCTCGGCGATGGATCCCTCCAGGCTCCTGCACCTGTTCAGTAAGGTGGCGAAGCAGGTTTCCAGAAGTACCATCTGCTTCACCGCCACCCTCTTGCCCTTTTTCAAGGTCTCGAAGGTGGAGGTAAGGATCAGAGGCACTTCCTCCGCGTTGCTCGGGTTCAGCCCTTCTACCTGGGTAGACCCCGCCTCCTCCAGTGGCGTCTGGAGTCCTTTCAAGACAGCTTCCTCCACCGTCAGAGGAGTGTCACCCGGGTCGTCTGAAGCACGCGTCCACTCGCGTACGTTCTTCAAGGGTCTTAGCTCCTTAGAGGGCCCTTGGGTATCGTTTTCATGGGCTGTCGTGTTATTCACATTATTAATAAGAGGGGTGCATGGGAAGTTATTAGACCCTCGGGCTGGCCCGTCAGCTCCGATAAGATCGTTCACTCCACGGCAAGAGGGGTCTTCCTCAGGTGTTACCTGAGCCTCATTTACTGATTTATTTTGTGCTGACATTATTAGGGGTGTAACCTGTGAGATAATGACACCAGCCGCCACCTGTTACCAAGGCTGAACTGGGTATATCCGTCTTTCCAGACTTGTCAGACTAGCTATCAGCATTGGCCACGCTTTTGTTAGAAACGTGCTCAGGACGCACCACGGGAAGGTGCTGATCAGCATATGTTGGTAGCCGTCAAGCCTCCCTACTTTGCGCAATCTGCAACTGGGCGTCACCCCTGTCACAGACTCCTATTAGCATCTCTAACTCTTCTACTAAGATCCACATTGATCTGTCCTGATCAGTTAGCTCCAGCCACCCTCTTTCAGGCTGCTGGGTACAGACCGCTACTACCCGCGAGTCGGGAGCCGAGGACTGCGGATGCCAGACTCATAGTCCTAGCCACTCTCCGTGCAGTCAGAACTAAGGCCCCGGGCCCACCTCCCGGGGACAGTGTAGATCTGGCAGTCTTGCACCAGGGCTCGTAGGTGGGGTCTGAGGCGCCGGAGGAGAACAGCTGCCAGGACCCTGTAGTCAGCCGAGGGCAACGAGATGGCCTGTAGCCATCGAGGCCGCAATCGCTGCGGGCCTTGGGTATCAGGCAGATGGAACTGTGCCGCGTGTTAGTGCTTCCTTATTGCATGGCGTCCGTCCTGTCAATCTGTTGCAGTCCAATTCCTCTATCAGCAGGCCTTCGAGTGATCTGACTACTGAGGGCAACATAAGCTTGGCCGTACATATAGAGCTTCTACCCCAAGTAAACTACTGCGTGGTCAACAGTGCTTCCTTGTGTACTGTTGGTGCCCAAGAACAAGACAGTTGGCGACATTCTTTGTTTCACGGTTCCATTACTATGGTGGTGTGCCTTTTGAAGGGATGTATTTTTTTCCAAATTCATAGTGGTAGAAGGAGAATTTTCCTCTTGGATTGTAGCTGCTCCTAGAACAGTTACAGGAATTGCTACGACAAAAAAAAAATTGTAGATAAAATAACCAAATACCTAATAATTTTAGATGGACTGGTACATGTTTTCACTGCACTTCAGACAAGTCTGCCCATTCAATCTCTTAGTTCACATTTTATATAATATACAATATTATATTACAATATTGGCCTCTAAGTCAATGCCAAAATGAATGCTCTATGAAAGCAACAAATGAAGGGCCGAAAACGCTCATGAAGACAATAGAAGACAACATATTTAAAGGAGCATCTCCAACGGAAAACATCAGTTCCTAATGTTAGGAAGATATCTTCATAAAGGTTCAAGAGAATGCTCTATAAAGACAACAAATTGAAAGTTGTTGCGCGACCTGCACCCCCTTGAGGCACCCCTGGAGCAGATGGCCACCCAGACCTTACGGTCCACAAGCCGGCATGTGAAGCATGCCCTTAGCTGCTATCTTGTTCCACTCATAAGCCAAGTAACGGCATCCAAGCTGGTGCTTGAATATTGTACCTGGAAAAACCACCTCCCAGATGACGAGTCTGGAAGAATTTATATACCGGTGACCTTTAGTCACAGCAAAACAGTAAACTGTCTACTGCGTCCAGCTGGGACCACGGGAAGGCGGCCACCTGTTGACCCTGTTCATTCGCAGCTGAGAAAGAGCTCAGCTGCCACATCGTGAGCTTTCTCGAGATGCTTGCTGTGATTTCTCAGCAGCTCGCTCTCGCCCCTCGCCCTCCTTCTCTCTTCCTGCACGCCTACCACCCTTGAGCAATCCAAGACGTAGTGGCGTGCGTCTACATCCCTCTCTCCACAGACGCAATCAGGATTGCTCTTTATCTTGAATCTGTGGAGACTCCTGGGGAAGGGCCCATGTCCCGAAACTACCCTAATTAGTACCTTACATAGGTACTTGGGTATTGTTACCCAATTTGATACCTCCCTCCCCTTGTCGCTGCTCTTCCATCTGTCCAACCATAGGTCCTGGACGTGCCCCCTGATCTCCTATAAACTTCCTTTTTGGTCACAGGAGTCCTCACAGATCTACCTCTAAAGCACCCTGCTTTAGCGAGCCTGTCTGCAAATTCATTACCTTCGATGAGGCTGTGACCCCTAACCCAATGGAGATCTGGAGCCCGCGATATCATCTCCAGCTCCTGGATGATTTGATGCGCGAGTTGCCCCTTCTCCATATTGATGGCGACCAGGGCCGACATGCAATCTGAATAGAGGCGGTCAGGGCTCAAGTTCTTCTCGGCACACATTCTGAGGGCTTCCCTGATCGCAACCAGCTCGGCTGAATAGACCAGTTCGTCCACTCTGAGTGTTACGCTTTCTTGGAAGATCAGCTCCCCATTGGTGAAGATCACAACCCCAGCTCCAGTATTGGTTCCAGACTTGCTCCCATCAGTGAAGACCTCCGTACCAATCCCTGTTGGCACTCCAGGACTCCCAATTCCACTTTGGCAGCCACTGCGGAGGCTTCCTTGGGTCCCTCTTCCATTCCAAGGTACCCGCTTCAAGGCCCAGGGCGTCTTCCCTATCTTCCCAAATTTTCTGTCTGATGGCCTCCTCCTCTAGTTTCAAACCCAGGGGAATAAGCCCAGCGAGGACCAACAAGGCCTCCGTGCTGGTAGTGCGATATCCCCCTGTGATTCTGAGTGCCGCTGTCCTCTGCACTCTCTCTAGAGTTGTTGCCACCTTCTGATCTTTATTTCGGCGCCACCAGGCCCTAGAGGCATATAGTAGGATTGGCTCGACACAGGAAAGGTAGAGGTTCCTAAAGATAGTACCTCCTTGCCCCCCCCGTTGAGAGCTAACCGTGACAGCCTGCACAATGCCTGTCTGCCTCTCGCCACCATCTCCGCGTGGTATTGCCATCCCAACTTATCATCAATAACCAACCCCAGGATGGTCATCCTATTTACTACCGATACCCTCCGTCCTTCCATCCGGATAGCCGCTTATGTTCCCATCTGATCCCTTTTCTTTTGGTTCTTATGTCCCTAGACTTAAAGCTGAGGGCTTTAGTTTCAGCGACATTGAACCTAAGGCCAGAGTCGTGGGCCCAGTTCGCGAGGATTTGGAGAGAGTTTTCCACACACTTCTCAACCTTCGCTCTCAAAGCAGCCTCAATGATGTGGAACTGGTCGTCGGCATAGAGAACCAGCCTGGCTCCCTCAGGTAGCTCCTCCTGGAAAACAGTGTTTACCAGGATGTTCCACAGAACAGGTCCACAGCAGGAGCCCTGGGGGCAACCCCTGGCACATTTTCTTACCAACTTCAGTCCATCAAAACTGAGGCTAACCCGTCTATCCCTCAGGAAGTCACGAACCAAGCTACACAAATTATTCAGAAAACCCATATCCATCAAATTTCTCATCAGCTTGTTCCAGTTCATGGAATTGAAAGCACCATCAATGTCCAGGGCCACGAGAAGAACCCAAGCACCCTTATTTAGCCCTATCTCAACCCCCTCTAATACTTCGTTCAGAGCTGTGGTTGTCGACTTGCCTTCCCTAAAACCATGTTGGGAAGAGGAAAGGAGCTCATTACTCTCTAGCCAGTGCTTCAGACGCTGAGCTAGTTGGCTATCCAGGACCTTACCTAGACACGCTAGTAACAAAAGCGGACGATAATCAATAGGGGAATTACCCTTTCTACCAGACTTTTCCAGAAGCACTACTCGGGCAACCTTCCATACCTTAGGAAAAGTACCAGTGTCCAGGCACCTATTGAATAACCTGGCAAGAAGCGATGGGTGCATCCTAACCAGGGCTTTCACGATCGTGTTATCGATTCCGTCCGACTCAGGAGATTTCCTGTTCCCGAACTTGAAAGCCGTCCGTTTAACCTCCATCTCAGAAAAGGGCGGATCCACCAAACCACAAGTGGTCAGCAAAATCTCATCCTCTGGCACTTCGTTTCCAAAATGCCGATCCAAGATGAGGTCCAGGGTCTCCTTAAGGTCCCGGGTCTTGAACCCATCTTCATCTTCAAGCAGCCTCAAGTTAGCGGAGCTCCTTATCTTACCAGAAACAACCCTGTAAGGGAGAACGTATGGATTTATTTCCAGTACGGTGTTGCACTGCTCCCTCCAGTGTCTCCTCTTCGCCCTCTTGGTGCGTCTTTTATATCACGCCAAGATTTTCCTGTAGGCTATTCCCCTCCTGATCCTTTCTTCGCCTACGCTGTTCTGGAATAGTTTCCTCATGGCCCTGACTCTCTTTCTCTCGATCTCTAACTCCTCTGTCCACCAAGGCTGTTTAAGCCTTTTAAATGTGGTAACTTTTCCAGGCCCCAGCGCTCGACACGTGTTGATTATATCCTGGTGAAGCTCATTGACCATGCTATCAATAGCAATTCCGTCAACAGCTCCAGTCAGGCTACCCTCAAGCGTGCAAACGAACCGGCGTCTGAATCTTTCAAGGTTAGGCCCCCTGATACAGAGGAGCTCTCTCCACTGATGGCGGTTCCACATCACAACTGGCTTCAAACCTGATGAGTTTGTAGTCGCTTACGTCCGTGGGGTCCGTTTCCCACCTCAAACGCCGCATCCTGCTTGTTCTTGCCAGGAAGAAGTCTATTATGCTTTCACCGTTTACCGTGGCAAACGTTGATTCACCATAGACGTTCCAAACTTCCAGACCCTGACCGATAACTAAATCGACCAGAGACCTTCCTTTGCGATTTTCCTCCCTGTCCCCAAACAGCTGGGTGCGCGCGTTAAAATCCCCGCCAATCACAATCTTGTGCCCTTCCTTCTGGACCAAAGGTAATTTAGGAAGTCCAGCCTACCGAGATCGTTGTCCTGAGGTGGTATGTACACAGAGAGGCAGACCAATTTTAGATCCGCCGCCTCGATCTGTACAGCCGCCGCCCCCTCCCAGGACCCACATCCCAGACAAGGAAGGTCTCCCCGGACCAGTAAGGCAGCCTTTTTGCACTCACTAGAGAAGAAACTATATCGAGTATTAGACCCATCCTCCCATCATCCTCCAGGTACATCTCCTGCACCTGGATAACGTGAGGGTGATCACTTTTAATGATCCGGTCTAGCTCCTCGGAGCTCCCCCTCGAATGGGCGCAATTTAGCTGCACAAACCTCCATACCTCCTTATTTGGCCCCTCTACCATTGCCTCCCATTCACATACCAGGCCTTTACCGAGCACTGCGTACTCCGGGGGCGATGATCAGTCATACTTCCTGCCGTACCTCTTATTGGCCTCTAAGCAGAGCCAACATCCCGGCCTCATGTCGCAACCCTGCTCTGGGGAGTGTACGCCCTCGCACCTCCCACACCTCTTAGGGTGTTCGCAGGTTCTTGCAATATGACCGGCCCTGAGGCACCTGAAGCAGGTCGACACCGCGTCGTTCACCCTGATAGGTACCATCCTTGCACCTATTTTCAACCTCTTCTTGCCCAAGAGGAATTTCATGGTGCCTCCTTTAAGCCAGAAATGACCCAATTCGTGGCGTAGGGCCTCCTTGTTCTCTTTTGATACAATCTCATATATCCTTCCAAGAAGTCCCCACACCCCGAATTTTGGAGCACCACCATTTCTCTTAGCATCCCCTCTTTAATGTCAGAGTTGACACCTAAGAGGATCAGCTCCCTCCTGGCCCTCTTGAGGCCTCCAAGCCTCAGAGCAGGCACCCTCTCTATAGCCTCCATGGCCAGTTTCCTGTCCTCGGGGTTCTTCAAAATGAGGGCCACCGCACCCCCACCCCGAATTATTTTGAGGTCATAGCGGTTCCCAGGAATGCTACCAGCGGTGCTTTTCAGTACCGCGAGCATTAACCCAGACCCTGCTCCCTCATTCCACTCAACTACCAGGGTCAGATCCTCGTTCCATCTAGGGGGGGGCCTTTGACCTTTGGAGGTTCTGGCTGGTACTCCTAGCCGCCTTGGGGGGAACCTTGTTTTCCCTGGTCCCTGTCTTCTTTGGGGGTCCCTACTTGGTGGACCTGGCTGCCTTGGGGGGCCCCTTTTCCTCTTCAGTCCTGGACTTCTTTGGAGGTTCCGGCTTGGTGGGCTTGTCTGCCTTGGGCGGTTCCTTGTCCTTCTCAGCTCTGGTCTTTCTTGGAGGTTCCGGCTTGTTTGTTTTCGCCGCCTTAGGGGGGTCCTTTACTTCATCAGCCCTGATCTTCGGGGGAGGAGGCTCTTTCTTCTCCTCTGTGGGCTTCGCTCCTGGTGGGTCCTCTTTCTCATTTGCCGACTCTTCGTTCTTCCATCCTCCTCTTTTCTCGTCGGCTTCCTGTCCCTCTTCTTCCTCTTCTTTTCCCTTTTATCTTTTTCTGCCATCTCACTGTTCTCAGTATGAACAGGCTGTCTTGGGGGAGATGGCAGAGCGGCCTCTTTGGTCCTAGTTGGTGTTTTGACCAGGACCCCCTCTACTTCAGGGCAGTAAATCGAGGTCGTTGCCCTTGTGGGCTCTTCCGTCTTCTCGTGGTGGGCGGGCGACTCTCGCCTAGGGAGGACTGGGGAAGCGTCATGGGGAGGACATACCTCAACCTCAGCTATTTTTAGCGACTCTGCAAGAGCCGCTGCCACTCCTCTCTCTATGCCGTACTGCAGGGTGGTTGGACTGAGGAATTTCTCCTCAAGCTTCCGCTTTTCCACCCGCAGGAGTTCGAGCTCTTCAATGGCTGCCCTATGCTTATTGAGGAGCTTATCGAAGCATTGCTCGAGGATGTTCGGGTGAACGTTCCCAACTTTCCTCCCTCGCCGTATGGTGGCTAGGGAGTCGTGGAAAGCCTCCGTAAGCTCCGAACTCTTCTTCTGGGGTGTCAACGCCTGGTTTAGGAAGTCGTTAAGGTCGTTGAGGTACCCTGGCTTGGTGAAGTCTTTCCCAAACCCTGACTCCTCGACTGTTGGGCTGATTCTCGCCTCAGAAGAAGGATCAATCAGCATAAAAGGATCCAACGGGACCTCCATGTTGATGATATTGGAGGGCCCTTGGTCCCGGTATCTGGGGCATCAGATCCCTGGGGGCCTTTCGGACCTCAGTCCTAGCAGGGCGTGCGTGCTGACCCATCTCAGTATGGGTGTCGGCCGTTAGCTCGACTTCATAGGGGGTGTTGGCCGTTAGCTCAACTTCATTTGGTGTACCGGCCGTTAGCTCGGCTTCGCTAGTCATCTTTCTTGGGCTTACTTTGTTGTATTTCATGAAAGATGGTGTTCCAGTTCAATAATGTCATGGTTACCACCGGTCCCCAAGGTAGCCATCACATAGCTGTCTTTCCAGTCTGTCTGACAAGCTGTCAAGTTTAGCCGTACTCTGGTTAAGAGACGCCCAGGGCGCACCATGTGGAGGTGTTGATCGGCACATGTAGGTAGCCGTCAGGCCTCCCTACTTTGCGCAGTCTGCAACTGGCGTCGATGATGTCAGCCCGGGAAGCCCTGATCTGCTGGACCATTGTTGTTCTTGCCGCATGTGGTCGTCTTCGCGGGGTTGCGCCGGTCCTTCCAGAGGCGCTGATACCGCTGGAGCGCTGTTCAACGGCGCGGCCTGGCGACTCCCTACATCTTCGTTTGGATCGCACCACGGTGAAGCCTTCTTCACCAGATTCCGAGGCCTCCATTCGTTCGGCCCAGTTCGCGCAGCGCCCACAGTGCCGCTTGTTGAAGGCGTGGCATCAGCGGCGCAAGCTGCGGGAAAATTTGCATGCTGTTTGTCTGCGGGTAAATTTGCATAGGTGCAGTTTGAATTTTTCATTCTTGATTCTTCAACTTGATGATTTTTTGCGGATATCTCCGCAACAGCTTTGTTATCAGAGCCGAGCCTTCCAGTCTCATGTACAGTTGTCACAGTCGGGGCATCTACATGGCAGTCACAGACAATGCGTTGTCGACGGCGCGATACGCATAACGCGCACGAAAAGTTAGAAATTTTATGCATAGAAGGCAGTACACCATAACTAACAACAAAGCAAGGATAACAGTTAGGATAAGAAGTTGTGTTTTCAATCCAGCGATGTCAAGTTGGCCGCCAGGGTGAGATTCCAACCATTGCAAAATCTCCGACAGGCAGTCTGTACCTGAGCACGTAGGATGAGAGCTGAAAACCATTAAGGCAGTAAGATTATAGCTTAAGTACTAGTAGTGGGAATATGACATCCGCTACTTAAAATCGATGTACAGCTCGATGTGGGCTTTCAGCCAATATAAAATTCGTTGTCTTCCGCGACATTCCAATGCTCGCCAGAGGCGAAAACGGCGAAGCTAAAAATAGCGTGGCCGCTCGCCTCGTGTATGTATGTATATGTATGTATGTATATGTGTAGCATACAATCTTCGTAATAATAATTCTTCGAGAAAGCAAAGAATTTGCTCGACAAGTAGCTCTCGTTTGTGTTTATCTCGTGGCCAAAGTTTGATATGGCATCCGACACTTTCTTCTTTAAGAATTCAGTATACTCCTCAAAAGTGTCAAATCCTACAGATTTGGGATCATCCTTTATGTATTGGGGAATCCCAATAATGGCTCTCAGGTCGTCGCCTTTAACTAGTATCCTAACTATAACAGGCAACCCTCTAAATGCCGCTTGAATCTGCCCATAGTACACCTCCATCCAATCGAGTTGGAGATGGCCCTCTACTCCCCCGTCCTGGCCATCCCATTGGATGAAGATGTCTTGGTCAGCTATATAAAGAGGGTTGTCTGAAAAGGGTACTGGGATTTTGAAAACGCCTCGGTCCCCATCACTGCGTCGTGTATTTGCCGGAGGACAGGCTCACAAACAGCTACTCTGAAGAGATTGTATGTATATGTGTATGTATGTAGTATGTATGTATGTATGTATGTATGTATGTATGTATGTATGTATGTATGTTCAATTTAAGTGTAGGATTTTTACTATTAGCTTTTTTACAATTTTCTGTTTTAGTACATGATTTAGAAATGTGGCCCTTGCTACCACATTTCGCTCAAGTATTTTCCGATTCTTTACAGTTTTTATATTTATGAAAATCAAGACTTTACTCCCTCGCCGTATGGTGGCTAGGGAGTCGTGGAAAGCCTCCGTAAGCTCCGAACTCTTCTTCTGGGGTGTCAACGCCTGGTTTAGGAAGTCGTTAAGGTCGTTGAGGTACCCTGGCTTGGTGAAGTCTTTCCCAAACCCTGACTCCTCGACTGTTTGGCCGATAAAGGATCCAGCATAAAAGGATCCAACGGGACCTCCATGTTGATGATATTGGAGGGCCCTTGGTCCCGGATATCTGGGGCATCAGATGTGTTGCGGGCGCAGGTGCCGGCTTCCTTGACAATGACAATGAAACAGACTTTATTGACCGTTCAGTCAATGGTTACACTCAAAGAGTCAAAGGGAAAATATTTACAATTAATTAATTACAATTATCCTGACTCTGTCAGGAGCCCAGGCCTGAGCACGGATAATTCCTTTTGGAAACTTTTTCAAAGGGGTGTCCTCAGGGAGGGTCTGGATCATAGGATGGCAAAGCAGCCCTGAACTCCGATAGTCTCCTACGGATCAAGGGAACCGAGTCCCAGTGCGCTCGATGAGCCCATCTAGGAATTGGGCGACCATCTTCTTCTGCTGCCTTGAGAGCTCTGCGACCACGCACTCCCACATCTCAGGGTCTCGGACCACGTCCACGAACTCGTCCGCGTCGAACGCACGGAGAATGGGCTCCAAGCCGGGACCATGGATCAGTTCATCTATTAAATCCACCAAGTCCGTCCAACAGTCCGGCTCCGAGTTGTCCTCCATACGGACAGATGGTGGAGGCGGAGGTGTGGCCATAGCCGGTGTTGTCTTTTGCCCCTGGGGAGTGGGCGGTGTTGGCTCAGCGAGCCGAGGCGCAGGCAGTGGGGGTACACATCGCTCTTCCTCCGTCATCGGAACGTCCTCCTCCATCTCCGTCGGGGCGGGCGGGGGGGTGTTATCATAGCAGGTGTCAGTTTTGTCTTGGTGGAAGTGAGCGGCGTTGGATGAGATGGTCGAGGCGCAGGCAGTGTGGATGTAGGAGGCACTGTGGCTGGACCGGTTCTCAGCTCTGAAATGACCTGTCGCAGGACCTTATAAATGTTGCTACTTCCTCCGGGCCTTAGGTCGAGGATTTGGTTTATTAGGCCGGCAAGAGCATTGCTCTGCGGAGGGGTCAGATGGCGACCACGCTTATGTGCCTTGGTCCTTGAGGAGAGGAGTCCAAGACCTCCTCCCGCCCGAGGCCAAGGGCGTCCGTCTGGGCAAAGGAGACGCCTGGGTTCCTATCTATGAACGTCACGAGGCTTTCTCTCGTTGATGTTTTTGACGAGGATGTGGAGGATGTTGATGTCTCCTCGATGACAGTCATCTCAATGTCCAGTGTAGGGACTGCAGGCTCGTGACTCCCAGGTGCCCGCAGGGACAGAGCAGGGGTCACAGGTGGAGGGGCAGGAGGCGCCATCTCCGTAGGTACGGCTGGGGCCACTGGTGTAGATGGCCGAGGTGCTGCAAGTGGGGTCAGAGCTCGGGCCGCAGGAGAAGCGCTGGGGGTCTCCATGGTTTGACTGGGTGACGCCAGAGGTGGAGGATGGGCAGATGGCTGCTGAGGCAGCCCGGGAGCGGCCACTGGTGGGACGCTGGTGGGAGAGTTGGTGTGGCCGGTCCAGGAGCGGTGGCTCGCCCTGCAAGCAGGGGGCAGTTGGCCCTGCGATGTCCTTGGCCACGGCACCTGGAACACCTAATCCCGGAGGACAGGTATGCGGGCCAGGCCTCGCCCTTGATTGAGAGGTCGAGGCGGGTGGGCAGCCTCTCGATGGTCATTCCCTCGCGGAGGATGATGAACGCCTCTCGGCGGCCGTCGTTGTAGACGTATGGGCCAGCCTTCATCAGCTTGGGGGCGATAGATGTGACCCGCCCAAAAGATGAAAGGGCGCTGATGACGGCTGCATCCCCCACGAAGAAGGGGAGGTTGCCCACTGTAATTCGCTCCGCCCTCTTGCGAAACGGGAAGGCCCTATGGAGGGTTCCCTCCACCTCGAGGCCCTCGTTGACGAGGCGCTCGGCCATGCCTCTGTTTGCCAGTCCCACCAGGAAGTGGCCGTTCATTTTGGTCACCTGGAAGACCTCCCTGGTGCTCCCGAACATTCGATCAACGGCCCTCAGGTAATGGTAGGGCTCCAGTTCAGGGCTGCGCTCAACGAAGACGCAGTGGTCCTCGGTTGAAGACGCCTGCCGCGCCCTGGCCTCCGCGATATGCGCCCTAGTGGTCCTGACCTCCTCCGCCCGCGGTGCCCATCCCGTGGACGATCGTGGCCGGCGAGTGGCCCCTGCGCCTCTGGTGCCAGAGGAAGGTGCAGCCGCTGCAGGAGAACCCGGCGAGTCGCGGCGCCTTTTCTTATTCTTGACGACGGTGAAGTCGTCGTCCTCTCCAGGGCCTTGGTCCTCGGTGTAGTCCGCCCAGTTTCCCAGGACACGGGCAGCGCCATTAGATGACGTGGCAGCTGCCGAGCCGGTCGTGACGTCACCGCGCACGGCGGCCAGATTTGCATCTTTAACGCCTGTCGGCGGATTTGCATAGCTTTGCTTTGCGCGTAGATTATTTGAAATATTCCTCTGCAGATCTTCATTCGCAGATAATTCGGCGCAAGTTAGAGCTTGTGTGCTGTGCCTTACAGGCTTTTGTGCAGCTTTTGAAGGGCTTTCAGCCCGTACCGAATTCGTCGCTATTCGCGACATTTTCCCGCTCGCCAGAGGCGAAAACGGCGGAGCTCGCTTATTGTTTTAGGAATTAAATATCAATCAGTAATTTAGGTTTAATAGAAAAATATTGAAAAAAAAAAAAAAAAAAAAAAATTGGCTCTGCGGTGGCCCTGTTTCCCGCATTTTGAGCACTTGATGCCAAAGGAGAGGAAGGCCGGCACGGAGTCTCCCTTGGACTTGACGTCCAGGCGGGTGGGCAGCCTGTCCAGTTTGATGCCGTCGTTGAGCAGGATGAAGGCCTCCCGGCGGCCGTCGGTGAAGGTGAACTCCTCCATTTTGACCAGGATGGGGGCGATGGAGGTGACCCTCCCGTATGGGCTCAGGGCGTTCACGACGGTGAAGTCCTCCACAAAGCTGGGCAGGTTGGCCACAACTATTCGCTCTGCCCTCTTGCGGAAGGGGAAGACCTTGAGGGACGTTCCCTCAATCTCCAGGCCGTCCACGACCAGACGGCTCGCAAGGTCCATGCTCGCGAGGCCGACGATGTAGTGGCCGTTCATTCTGTTGAATTGTGTGATGTTATTTGGCCCCCCGACCAGCTTGGACATTGCCTTTAGGTAGGTGTAGTCCGGGATCTCTGGGCACAGCTCCACAAAGATGTAGTTTTCGTGTAGATGAGTTCTGCCTCGCCTTGGCCTCGGCGATGTTCTTGCGTTTCGCCTTGATCTCCTGGGGCGACACTTTCCTCGGCCCTGTTGGCCGCTTATGCTGTTGGGAGCCGCGCTGCTCTCCAGGCTTGTTGGGCTGCCTTGGAGCGTGCTCAGATGACGGTGAGCCGAGGCGCCTCTTCTTGTTTCTGACGAGGGTGTAGCCGTCGTTGGATTCCACCTCTGCCATCTCGGTGTCTCCCCAACTCCGCCAGGCCGGATTGGCCGAATTTGCGCTGGAAGAAGCAGCATTCGTTGGCGTCGTGCTCGGCGGCCAAATTTACATGCTTAACGCCTGCCGGCGAATTTGCATGATTTTGATTTTTAGATTTTTCTTCAGATGCCTTCTTCTGAAGGCGGTTTTCCGGTGATATTTCTTCACCCGATTGGGATACGTTGCTGGGCCTTTCTGGCACTACATCAGCAGATCCCGGGCTTCCCGCTGGTACCAAAAATGGCATGTCTAAGGACATTTAAACAGATGCCAAAGGCGAAAGACGCGGAGCTCGCGCGACGCGTGGCAGCACGGTCGGCGTATGTATGTATATGTATGTATGTATGGAGATCAGCTCCCCGTCGACCAGTGACAGGATGCCGTGGTTCAGAGCTATGGTGGGGTTCTCAGTTGGGAACAGTTTGGGGGCTACCCCACAG